GGGTTAAAAAAGCCCACACAAAGTGCCAAGTTTTTCCTCTTGCAGTTTTTTTGTGGCCACCCCTGCACTCCACCCTTCTCACTAAGTCATCAATAAAAACACATTCATGTGCTTACTAAAAAGTGAACAACAAAAGAAAAGCTATTTTTGACTTTACTCAGCCCATTAATAATAACAAAAGGGTCCAACACCAAACACGTCGATGGTTTTTGGAGGATTTGTTGTGAGGTTGAAAACCTGAAAACGCAGAGCAGACTGCAGGTTGAGCTGGGCTCAGAGGGTGGAGAAAACACAAGAATATACAGACGGAGGCACCAAACAGTCAACAAACTGTCAGTGTCTGGGCTAAATGAGTTTAATAATGTCACAAAAGGAATTCACATTTAATAAAAAGCCTGCAAGATGCAGTCTGTGTGCCGCACAAAAGATATGTAAAGAAGGAACATATCGATATTTCAAAGCATCTATGAGCAAACGGCTCGGTGGAGACGTTATGGAAAGCATTAGGCTGCGAGGCCTGTAGTGGGTATCTCCCTTCGCATCTATAAATAATATAGCTTTAGGCTCAAGCTTTCATAAACAGACACCATCACTGGTGCCTGTGCCATAAAAGGTTAAAGTGAAGGGATTCCCACACACTAAAGGCTTTATCTGGGAAAGATTTATCCAACATGAAGAATACATTTTGGAAATCTGCTGTTTCAGATCAAAGGGAGGGAGACAGAAGTGGGTGTCCACATTACTGTCCCACTAATGATCTTTTTTAAAAATCATAAGCACTACATTATTAAAAGCTGAAACAGAATTACAAGCAGCAAAGTGTTCTCTCATATATTCAATTACTGCAAAGAGGGGTGTTTTGTTAAAGTTTATACCCAAATGTGCAGTTTCTAAGAGCGACATCTTAAAGAGGCACTCAGGGGACTTCATATTGCATTTGCATGAAACTGAACAACTCAAGATGGCTACAGTCGCAGCAGCAGAGGCCGAGATATCCTGGCTTTTAGTCCCTATTTGGTTGAAACTCTGCAAACACTTGATTCGACATTTTCTATAATGTGAGTCAATATCAATTTAACTCCATAACTCCCATAACTTTTGCTCTGCATGCCCACTCCTCCTCTGTAAGACATCAATAATACATAACTCCTCAGAGCTAATAAATCACTCTGGCTAGTCAGTGCTCAGACTCAACTCGTCTTCCAGCTCATGCACTATTACTGTACATTCGGCTGGGGTCCAGAGCACCAAGTTAGAGACTAAGATGTGTGGCAGCCAAAGTCAACATGGCTTCTTGGATTTTCACTGTGCCTGGTATTAGTTGGCACTGTGTAATATGGCCTGATCGCAGACTGGTGGCCTGATTTTAGACTGGACTCCCATGGCCCCCAGAGGACCTCCTGCTGGGACGAATTACTGCGAGCTACTACTGCGAGCACAACAGGTGACGGTCTATATAGGGAGCTGCTTGGTGAAAATGGGAGAGAGGTCAAAGGTGAGGGGAAACACTGAAACTGATCCGTCTGAATGTTGTCTGTCATCTACCAAAGCTCAGAGGGCAGATTTATACACAGACACTCCACATGCATAAACACACACTCAGAAATGACAAGACCAACTACTAATGTAGCTGAAACAAGTAGTCGAGTAATCAATTGGGAAATTAAGTCTGAAAATGAATCAGTAAAATGCCAATAATTCTCTTTTTCACCTTATCTTTAGGGTTTAAATTGTTGGTCAGACAAATAATAATGAATGATTAATTAAAAATGTCTCCCTGTTTTCTAGGAAATCATCAGTATTTTGACACATTTTATAGACTAAATTAGTTAAAAATTAGTTAAAAAATAGCCCAACAAATTAATCAGTAGTGCAAATAATCATTACTTGCAGCCATAGTCAATAAAAAGCACACCAATACTATTTACACACACCATTGACACACTGAGTTATGTGTCTGAACTATGGAAATTCTTAGAAACCTTGACATGTTCTTACAACCCAGGCGCTCTTGCTGGGCCACTGGCTTTTGCACAAACTTTAACAAACTTAACCAGACAAGCGGACCAACCTTCCTGTTGACACCGTAGTTTTACAGCAGGTGAAACAATGAAACAAGACAAGATTCAAAAGTGACAAAGTCTTGAGCTTTTTCAGCCAGTAACAAGACAACAGGCAGCTAACATTTCAAACAGTCCGTGCACCATTTGAACCAGAGTCCTCACGATCAGGGCGGTGAGCAGAGGAATTCTTCATAGTGATTCCAAGAACACTAATGTCTCTATTAATTACTCATCTGTGTTCTTAACCCTCCCAGTTTTCTTGGTAATGTAGAAAACAAGTATTTCAGTTGAGTCTGTGCACATAGCAAATGCAAGGTTTCCAGGAAGAGAGGAAAGGTAAGGAGAAGAAGAAGAAGTGTCAGTTCTGAATTAGCATACGACCGTTACACTTGTTTGTTTGAAGAAGCATTTCTTCCAGAAGAGATTGTTGACATGACAGATGTAAAACAGTTTACAGTAATGTAACCTGAACATGAAGACGGAATATTAAAGTTACCCAAGACCTATACCTAGCAAAGAAATCTATCTGTGCACAGATGCATAATATGTGCAGCTGTGACAGCAACAAAGAGGGTTGAGGAGTGTGCTGGGACTTAAGTGGGTGCCTGTGGAGAGACATTACAGTGGAAAGCTACTTCACCCCTTTCCCATAGACACTCCAACACGCATCTGCAAAGAGAGGCTCTCTAGAAGCAACACATCTGTTCCAGCACCCCCTGTTGCAGTTCAGGACTAATTAAAGGATCAAGGGAAGCTATAGCACTGTGCCCTACACCACACTGTATGGACCAACTTAATTACAATAGATCAACAAAGCCATAATTGAGCTCCACTGTACAATGAATTTCCCTCACACACAGCACTGCTATCAGCATGGTGAATGCATCACATGTAATTAATCAAAATATCCTACAGTTCATGGTGAAAATGTATCACGTTAAGAATATGTGCACCAAAGATATTTCATGTGCAGGCATTTTTTAAAAGCCTAGCAAGTCGTAGTTTCGGGTGTAATCGGTTAAGAAAGCGATTTATAACAGGCCATCTCCATCTTTGAGGCCTTTGCATCTGAAATGTGATCTGGGAACTTAGGAGCGCCTGCCCTCTCTGACAGGGTAGTAGTAACAATGGCAGAGCTGCCATTCACTCCGACACCCAGTAATGGCAGGGAGAATGTCACCGGCAACTACTCTGCAAAGGCCATCACTCCTAATGACAAACACCAAGGGAGGAAGTGTTCCATGTCCTGTGCGCACTGCAAAGACATGTTTACAGTGTTGTGGGAAGGAAAGAGAAAGAAGTGAAAGAGATGGAGGCTAGAGGCTGCTGACCTGCACTTGGTAATGTGCTGACAGCATTTGCCACCAATGTAAAACCATTAAGTCCTCCCTGTACTTTGTACTCCACAGTGAGCTGACCATCTCTTTCTATGCATTGTTTAAGTCACTGACATATTATTTACAGTTATTCCTGAGAATCGTCCCTCATATCTTTACAAACCTATTTCACAGAGATCATCTTCCAACCAGAATGTTAAACCACAAGACACAGATCTGCTGTCTGTCCCTACAGCTTCTGTAACATAGACAATTTCTATGGTCTATTTGACCTTTCACATATCATCACCTCCTTTTAGTTTGTTTTACTTCTGTGTTAGGTCTCGCTTGAAAAAGAAGTCACTAAACCCAGTGGAATACTAGCTGATTAAGTAAAAGTTAAATAAAACAATAAATAAATATTATGAGAAAACATATGAGAGTCACAGCCGTACGGTGGGATTTCCCTTTGTTATAAACACATGATGGTATTGGCAGTGGGACAGCAGTACTTGTCTAAACAATGACAATGAAAAGCACAAGGAGCTCCCACACATATCTGTATAGGACAGAGCTCCCGCACAGAGGCTTCACTAAAAAAAAAGAGACTAAAATATACTGATGCACTGAGTGAAAGTTGACTTTTAATGACACGCTTCAGCTTACCCTTCAAACACAGTGCTTTTTTGACTTTTTTCAGCTAAAGAGGTTCAATTTAAACCTGAAACGGATACAAACTGAACCAAATGACAGGTCAGTACAGTTTGGGCTTTTTGCCCTGATCTCTGTATGTTTAACATATTAGTCCTGAGCTGTTGGTCTGTCAGAGGGAACAAGATGCTACCACTGTGCTCATACTTTTCCAGTGTTTACATGTTGTACACATTAAAGGGCTTATAGCACTGAGGTACATCATGCCCTGAGAATAATTTCTGAGGGGGGTGATTTAGTGTGCCATCTGTTTTAGTGCATTTTAATTGGTGAAATACCTCACTGCGTTAATAGGCTCTCACAATGGGTTTGTCTTTTTTATGGATTATTTACTTCACTTGACAGAAAATTGCTGCAACACACGAGTCCAGTGAGCATGACGTTTTTAACTAAACACCCACACATGACAACACTGATGTTATTTTGTCCTAACCTTGCCAGTACATCATTCACTTATCTATGATTTTCACACTCATCAGCAAAGCATGTCGAATTAAGAACTGAAACTTAAGACAGACTGATTATTTAAAAAGTGTAGCTATCAGAAAGCATCAAACATGTTTACCAAGAGGAGTTTGATTTAAGAATGCCAATATATTCAATTAATATCCAAAGTCCTCCAGATGATTTAATCTGGCAGAGACAAGGGGAAATTGAACAATAGACCCCAAGTAGAGATGATCTATGGCATATTACCGTGTTCATCCCCGCATAACCAATTCTACTTGGTTAATTGAAAAATGCATGAAATGGCGGCTGGCGCAAAAACAGGCTTGGGGAAAAGTCTAGCCTGTCTCCTGGCACGTGGCTTCACTCACTAACTTCAGGAGACTTTATAAAGTTACTAAAGAAAAGACAGAAAGAGCCGCAGACGGAGCTCTGGATGTGATTGATCTGATGATAAACTCACATGAACGCATGGTAGATGAATGCCCATCCTCTCGGTCTTTCCAGCACGTTGTACAGGTAGTTCTGCAACTTTCTGTAGCGCTTGCCTGAAGCGGACGTGTTGGCCCTGGGTCCGGGCGGTCCTGGCAGCGGTGTGCCAAGCAGCCCTGTGCGGTGAGACGGGTGTCCGCGCTCCGGGGTAGACGGTTCGCTTCTCTCAGTGTGGACAGCGGTGAGAGCCACGAACTCTACCCGCCTGTCGTCGTTTAGAGCTGGGGGCACCAGCATTCTGATGCCACCGTTGTTTGACGGACTTCCTAACATCTACGAGTCGACACGATTGAAGTACAAATAATTTGACACTTTTCACTGAATCATCTTCAAGGGCGCACAACAAAGTTTAAACCAAGCCATAGTCCAGTTTGTCTTGACTTTAAAGTGGACTAAAACTAATGCACCCGTCAAAAAATCATGCGTGAATATCTCGGCTTCTAATTTGTTATGATTTGAAAGTTATCTATAAATTAAATCACGGTCGCAAAAGAAAAGACGCACAACACGTAGACAAGTGGGTCGCGCTGAAACGTGACCTTGAGTGATCATTGTTGACTCCAATGCAGCTGTGAAACTGAACTGTTAACGACCTACCATCCCTTTGTAGAGATGACAACACAAACTGGCATCGAGCATCTATTCAGATAGGCCTACATAACCTTTAAGCACAGAAAGCAAGCGGGCGCTGTGGTCATGGCATATATCTAAACCAACTTAATTAACCACGATTTTTGGATTAATGAAGACGGACTACTTAGTCTGAGCTCTTTCTATAGTTTTAACTGGCAGCCTGAGCCTCGCCACAGCCGCAAACATCAGCCTGCTCTCCCCTCCGTGTGCGTCTCTCTGATCCAGCGCTCCTCCGCTCCGACAAGCGGGGTGGAGCGCGTAGAAGTGAAGACCATCACTATGATGTAAAGAATCGCAGACAACCAACTCTAAAAGTCTGTAGAAATGCCAGATAAACCTCCGTCGGCATCCGCATCTGCTTTGCAAAGTCTTACAAAGACGAAAACCTCCTCTCTGATGAGTTGACGCGCAGAAACAGAAGAGCAGACCAGAGGCGAGGACTCGGCGCACGGGATGGGAATGGGTACGGGATGCACGTAGTGACGGTGAAACAGAGACCGGACAGTGATTTTTTTTTTCTTTTCGTGAATGTAGCTTTTCCGGAAGAATACGAGATCTCTGGTAGAGGTGTTAACTTTGGAAATAACTGCTTGTGCATATGTACTGTATCTAAATATTGCATAGTCTAATTATTATCTGGACTGAGTATCAAAGGGCGCGTGATACTTCTCCAGGTTATTACCCAGTTCCAAATGATACTCTTTTCGGCAGTCAACAAAAACACTTCCAAGGAAGAAGGAACACTTGTAAAAGTGCCCTTTGTCTTTCCTCTGAAATGAAAATGTCACTTGTGTTTATTATAGGAGGGGGATTTATTCCAGGAGGTGGCAGAGACAGGTGCCTGGGGACAGGGCAACACCGACCAGACAGCCACCTCCTCAGTGGACAAAGCTTTCTAAATGTATGATTGTGACACACACAGAGGCTTGACACAAATAAAAGGGTTATGGAGGCAGTACCCTGTCACGGGGATCACTTGTCACAGGGGCACTGAGAAATGCATTTTTAAGGTGGTCCTCAAACTCATGCTGGCCTCACTGTATCATCTGACCACCAAACGAAAATTCACAGTGATCTGTTTCTTTGAACTAACAGCTCTGTTCAGCTCAAATAGAAACACCAGGTCAAATTTAAACCTGGCTGTATGGAAATTAAATGCCTGGGGACTGAAAAGACTGAAAAGCATCTACTTAAGTAGACTTTAAATGAAATATATAATCATTACTCTTGAGTAAAACATTTATTAATGCCTGCAGCAAACAAAGAAACTGACCGTGTGCCTCAGACATGCATTTGGCATTGGGTAAGTTTTGCATTGTTCCATAACAACAACAGAGGCAGGTTACTCATGCTAACTATGCGCATGCGGCTACTGCAGTTTATGGAACATGCGGGTATGTGGTATGACGTGTGGGAATGCAACTGGAGTCTCTCATGAGTTGCAAATCTAGATGTTGTTCCCAGGGACTACTCCCATTACAAAACTGAACATCTCTAATCCTTTACTCTTAACCTATCATCATATGTATAGACTCGTGGATTTACTGTATAAAATGGAATCGACTGTTGACAGCTGTACTTCTTATAGCAAAGTTTTACTACAGACTGGGGACTCTTAATATGGCAAATGAGTCTGAAATGAAAGGTGAATTTTCCTATTTCATATATGCTTTATTATATTTCAATTACAATGGATAATTGTTTGTTTCATGTAGGACTGAATCCTCTGTTACAACCCCAAATCAGAAAGAGTTGGGGCAGTATGTAAAATCAAAATTAAAACTGAAAACAGTGATTTGTAAATTATCTGTGTCCTGTATTACATCGAAAACAACACAGCAGCACATTATTTGATGTGACACCTCATCAATTTTATTCTTTGTTCAAAATGAACACCTCAGTTCTGACGCCTGCAACACATTCCAATGAAAGCTGGGACATTTCAGGGCCAGTAATGAGGTAAAACAATGAAATGATGATTCCATTTGAAACAAGTGATGTCCGCAGGTGATTCCCAATCATGATTTGGTACAAAAGTGGCATCCAGGAAAGGCCGAGCCCTTTAGCAGCAAAGACGGGCTGAGGACTGCCAATTTGCCAACATACTGTATGTGTGAGAATATTATTGTACTCTTTAAAAATAATGTTCCTTATAGAAAGATAGGAAGGGATTTGGATATGTCACTCTCTACGGTGCATAACATCATTAAAAGATCCGAGGAATCTGGAGGGATTTCAGGGTGTAAAGGACAAGGGTATAAGCCTAAGCTGGATGACCAAGCTCTCTGATCTCTCAGACAGCATTGCAGCAAGAATCGTCACTCTTCTATAAGTGATATGACCACATGGGTCAGGATTACTTTGGCACACCTGTGTCAGGCACTACAATATGTAGTTACATCCATAAATCCCACTTAAAACTGTACTGTGCCAAAAGGAAGCCCTATGTCAACAGTGTCCAGAAGCGCATTTGACTTCTCTGGGGTCAGAGGCATCTGGGATGGACCATCACATAGGATAAGGATAATCACACGATGGAAATGTGTACTGTGGTCAGATGAATCAGTTTTCCAGGTCTTTGTTGGAAGGAATTGATGCCTTGTGCTCCGGACCAAAGATGAAAAGGACTCTCAGCAGCCAAAACAAGGCCAGACAGCAACAAAGGAATAACGTGCCAACAGACAGGCCAGCCCTGCTTGTGCCCTCAGGGATTTACATCAAAGTCTAACTTAGGCAAAGCCATGCAACCCCTCGTTCTATTACAGAACCAGCAAACTTTCCTCCAGCAATCAACACCCAGAGTTAAGCAGAGTATTCAGCGTGGCCTCTGGGCTACAGGCTGCCCCATGACAGCACACAACAGCTGAGCAAGGTCAGACTGTAAAATGTGAATGTGGAACAGATGGTTGGAAGAGCACATGTACAAGGAAGGGCTCACACACTCATTGCAACAGAACTGGTGGCACTCAGCAACAACTCAAGGGGTGCTATTACAATCGGGGCTGACCCAAAGTGGACTGCAGGGGCCCAGTGCTAGGAGGCAGCTTTTGTGTTCCCTCTTTTGTTTTTCCACTGCACTCTTCACTCACGTTCCACAGAGCCCATTCAGCTCCAGGAGTTGATAGCCACTCAGGTAGAATGTAAAAATCCCCACATCAGCAAATGTGGGCTACACATATTACAGTGCAAACTATGTCCGACCACCATCCTTGTATTTCCGCTGTACAGTTGAACGCTTACTTACACACTTAATGGCTTTCCCAGGCCACACTTTTGTTTGCCTTTATTTAATCTTGTTTCTACTCTGCTTTTTATCTGCTTCCTTCTCTTTAACACTTGACTTTTCTTAATGGAAAACTTCTGAGAGACAGAGAGAGGAGGAGATGGGAGGGGGCAGATGAATTGTTGATATAGTGTGTTGTTTCAATGTTGTTGTGATAAGCCTGGTTATAGTCTTTGGAGAGATGACATGACATTGTGTCAAACAGTGCCTTGTCGGGAGCAAGAACCCCTACTTGAGCAACACATTGCAACCATCACGTAGGCGCTGTAAAAATGTCAACTGACGAAAGGCAGCTTCTCTGTGTTAATCGGTCGGACAACCTGCCATTCAGGAACATGAATACAGTATGCAAGTGTGAGCCACAACATCCAGGGACTGAGTCAGGAAATTACAGTAGTTTGCACAGAGACCTCGCTCTGTGGCCCATTCATGAGAAGTCAAAAGATCCTTTGTAGCTTACCACCCGTTTTGGTGCTTTTACAGAAGTGACTGAGCACGCCTTCTAGGAGTATGCGGTATTTTACTGACATGTTTAGAGGGATGGAGGGCACTGCAATACAGACAGTAGTTTATAAAGTATTTTTTGCCCAACAGTCTACACTCAATAATCCCTAACGACAAGGTAAAAACATGTTTTTAGAAATGGGACGATGTTTGCCAGACACAGTGCTTGGAATTTATGTTCATCAAGTTGAACTTTTGTCTCCTCAGACCAGGGAATATTTTTTCTTATGCTCCCAGAGGGCTGTAAATGCCATTTGGCAAACTCCTAGTGGGCTGTCCATCTAGCCACTCTAACAGCCTGGCTGATGGCGAGGGGCGGAGGTGGCCGTCCTTCGTGCATGTTCTCCCAACTTTGCAAAGGACTTCTGAAGCTCTGTGGCTGCTGGGTTAGTGGGTTCTCCCTGATCAAGGCCACAAAGTGGAGTACCACAAGGGTTTAAATACTTTTACAAATGACTCATTTCAATATTAGATTTTTTTAGTGTTATCGAGCATATATTAATGGACACAAATGACAGTGTTATGCATTTAAAGCTAGACAGCATTCTGCAAGCACAAACCTCCACCAAGGCAGCTCTGCTTTTGCTTAATGTCATCAAAATAAATAAATAAATCATGGATTGGGATGATCATCCGGATCACCACCTAAATGTAATAGATTGTTCGGCTGGCCATACCCTAAGTCTCCAAAAATGTACATCAACATCCATTCATAACATTATGAAATAAGCTGCAAACAAACCACCAAACAGCAGTAAAATCACAACCTTAAGGAGGAGGCAATTAAATGTACAACACAAAGTGTGCAAAAGTGAATGGGTCTGAATACTTTCTGAACTGTATTTTGTAGTACATTGTGTAAAATGTGCTTGGGAAGTTAAAAATCCTTCATTAAATCTTAAAAATCTTATCTTATAAACTCACAACATCCCCATTTTCAATTAACACCAATTCACATTTGCCATAAATTTAGTCTTTTCTTCATTGTGAGAAAACCATTTAATACTATCTAACAATCTCTCAGGTTTATGAATCAGTGGAATAATTCTAAAGGCTTTTAAAGCACTGGAAAACAAAGCAGCTCTGTTTCAGAACCTGTACTGTGACTTCCTTATAAATGGTGATAAGCGATAATCAAATTTCACTGCATGTGTCAATGAACTGTCACATTATTCTTACACAACGTTGACATGCCAGGACCTGGGGAAAGCTTGCATTATGGCTTGATGGTGATTAAATGAAATTGTCCCAACAGCTCAGATAGACAGAACAGGATCAAACATAAACATCTAAACATACACCTGCTCCTGTTAAGGGTTTGTCACTAACTTGGTGAGACCAACTAGTAGTGAGGGCCAATCCCAAGGCCCAGATCATGGCCAATTCATCTGGCCAAGGTCACCCTGGTCTGACCAGATGAGCTGGCCAAGAGAAATACCAGAAGAAAATCCTTTGCATGCTTGACTTAAGCTTCAGATGTTCACAATCTGCTTTCCTCTTATTAGAAAGCACAAACACAAGTCTGCACATATTAATGCTGGTATTGTTCTGTGATTAAGTCAATTAATGAAAAGGCCCTCCAGTTTGAGTAATGTTTACTCTTACTACTGTGGCTTAACCACACATCTGTGTAGTGACAG